TCCATATTTCTGGGTCACTTTGCTAAAATTTTCTAGCATATTTGTGTTTATGTTCATGGAGGATACTGGTCTTTGGTTTGGATTTTTGAGTAACACTGGCTTCATAAAATGAACCGGGAAGCGACCCCCAAACTTCTTTATTAAAGAAGAAACTAAAATTTTCATTGATTTCTTCCTTGACTGTTTAGTGGATGGAATTCACCAGCAAGACTTTCTGGGTCTGGAGTTTTCTTTGTTTGAAGAACCTTAACTACAAATTTAATTAATTTAACAGCTATTGAACTAGAGGTTTCAGGACACGTCTCCCGCATATATGCCACGTGGGCGTGAGGGATATTTTGAGCCCAAGGAGATCAAAACCCAGCAGATTCAGAAGCTCCTCACCTAACCGCCTACATTTACATGGGAAAGGGAGGCCTAGTCCCAGGAACACAGCTATTACCAGAGACAACCGGTTTACCCAAGAAACTCAGGAGGATAACAGGGAAACCTTTGTTCTCCAAACACCTCCCCGGCCTTCTTGGGAGCAGCCTTCCCCCACTTTGTTTCCCCAGGCCCCACCCCCTTCCATCGCTCAGGATGTTCCATAAGCTTCAAGTGCCCAGAGGCCTTGTGAGTCTTCCTATCTTTATGGGGCTCCAGTACATAATTAAATTTGTTTTTTTCCTGTTAACCTGTCTTATGTCGTCGTAACTGAGCAGCCACAGAAGCTAGAAGGGTAGAAGTAAAACTGTTCCGGGACAACACTACTCTTCTGGCAACCAGTTTGTTTGTTTTGTTTTGTTTTTTTTAATAGGCTTCACACCCAGCATGGAGCCCAACATGGCGCCTGAACCCATGACCCCCGAGATGGAGATCCAAGTTGAGATCAAGAGCCAGATGCTCAACTGACTGAGCCACCCGGGCACCCCCAGTCGCCTAGTTCTTAAGTGAGCTGGTTCTTACCATTCTTTCCTTGTGAATTTTCTGAGACCTTATCAGGTGAATTCAGATGCTGCTCCCCATAACCACTCCCAAAATGATAACACAGATCACGGATTTAACCCCTATGCATCATGCGCTAACTCATTCAGCATTCTTCCTAAAGCAGCTAGCCCAGGAGAGAGGGAGGGAGGCATGAGGGCCTCAGGGAAGAGTTTAAGAAGCAAGGAACAGGAAGGAGGGTTTTTCATTTACTTTGGGTTTCCAGAGACTGCCCGTTCAGCTTGATAAACAACCTTTTCCCTCCAAAACCCTCCGACCCCTTGTGGATGTCATTTAATTCAGCGCTGGAGAGCCCTTGACTCTGCAATCAATGCAAAACCACATCACCTTTCAGTTAGAGTCCTGGGCCTGCCCTTGGTAATGACAGCACCCCGCCCTTCTTTCATCCAGGAGAGTGACCGAGGTACCGTTGGAAAGGCTGGTTTCGATCTCGTCTCTTGCTGCTCGGCCTCTACACATCCCTGAACAGATGGGAGAGGGGAATGCCCTGCCTTCCCCTTCTCCCCTGCAGCCAGCACAGCCAGCCTCCATTACAGGGTCCTAAGGGGTCTTCTCAAGTTCTCTTGCCTGGCCTTGTGGGGGGCCTCATTTTTCTCATTTCTCCTCTTCCAGGAGCCAAGTCTCAGTTAGCATCCCATCCTCCCCCCACAAGCTGTCAGCACTGTGCAGGGTCTCCGACTGTACCCAAGGAGCAAACCAGGCAGCTAGCTTGTTTCATGAGCGCGGGCAGAGCGCACGAGAAAAGCAGCAGCTGGAGCTTCATGACCATTTGCACGGACACCCCATGACCTTCATGCCCCACAGGAGATGACTGGAAACACGGGGTGGGGGGTCGTGCTGCAGGAGGGGCATCTGAACTTGTTGCATCTGTGGCTTTTACGGGCAGAAGCAAGGCTGCTCCTTCTCCAGAGGAAGGGGTCACCTCATCCCTCACGGTTAACGCCTGCCAATCCAACACCGAAAGTGACTCTGCGTGGCCAGAGCCCTGCCTTCTTGCCAGGTCCTCGGCGCCAGGGAGCACGGCCTGCCCAACACAACTCCTTCCCTGAATCTTAAAGTTCCACAGACTCTCAGGGTAGCTGGCCAGAGGCAGGAACACTAACTTTCCACACGGCAACCCAAGTCCAGCAGGATTGGCCAAGAATGGCGGCTGGGAATGCACGTCTCCCCCTTCCTGCTACCAGCAGGGACTGTGTATGTGGAGAGGGACAAGCTTCTTTCTGGCCCGACGAGTCCCATTCAAAATTCCTTAGGACTCTCTTCCAGACTCTGTAAGTCATCAATTCTAGGTATTTACTTAGTCCTCTAGAGCTGAAGGAAACTGCTTTACTCTTCCCAGGAATTAGACAGTGGGTCACAGAGTCATAGCCCCACTGACTCTTGTCCTCTTCATTCTCTGTGTGGATAGATCTTCCTCCACTCACACACTCCACCTCCAGCCTCCTCATTTTAAAACTCACAAGCATTTACTTTTCACCATTTTAACCCCCATCTGCATACTAATGGCCCACAAATCTGCATCCAAGTCCTGGCACTGCCCGCTCTCCAGACACTTACTACTTGTACGTCTGCTGGGTAGTCCCACTGGAGGCCCCACAGGAAATCTCTTACAAGTGGGTCTCTCCTATAAGCCTCCAGTGTCCTCTCTTCTCATCTTTTCCTGGAAAATCATGACCTACAAACGCCAAGCTGCTTCAATTTCTTTGACTCTCCTGCACTGCTCACACTATTTCTTTTCCTGGAATTTTTTTCACCATTTTCATTGTGAAAATATCCTTAATCATTTTTTTTAAACATTTCTACGCATTTCTACGCAGACAGCCTGATTAAGAAATCCTCTTTGATTTTTCAAGGCAGACACAACTTTCCCTCACTCGTTCATACCATATTATAATAAGTAATTCATAGTCACTAAATACAGGTCTATATACATACACAAATATTTTAAATTAAATTGTGCATCTACATGTTGGCCTTCCTTCCAAAACTAAGCTCCCGGAAAACGAGGTGGTATTTTATATTTCTGCAACTTACTTCCAGCCCCGTGTCTAGCCCCACAGTAAGTACCCAATAATGTTTGTTGAACTATTCTGGAAGAAATAGCACTGGAGTGAGGGGATTCTTGAGGTAAGATGTGACCAGCGCTTGTATCGAATTAGACACTGGTGTTAGCCAAGAGTAAACAGAGACAGTCCTCTTCTACTTTAATTGTTCCTAAAACCTTCTGGCTCACAGATCACCTTAAACGTGATGAATGTAGAGAATGCTTTAACAAATACACGTCTCTCTGAATATACACACCAAATTCTGTATGAAATTCCAGGAAGGTCATGGAACTCTTGCCCTCCGTCCTTTCCAACGTGGATGCAGGCTTTCCACCGTGAGTTGATCGGTAGGACTGGTATCAGCCATACAAGGATCCGCGTCCAATAATGGAAGGTAGCACGCGTATCCATGAACAAGGAGTCCTGAAGGAAGGCTTAAAACAGATGCAGAAGGTCCTCTTTCAGCTTTTGGTGGAGAGAGCTGGTGGGGACACGGTCAAAGAACTGTAGAGTTCTTACCTTGAGTGTCTCCGTCCGTGTCCTCAGAGTCACTGGTGCTCCCCATTATCATGAGATGCTCCCAGGGCCTCCACGGGTGTCCACCAACGACCAGGGTGGTGCTGACTGGGGCAGGCAATTAAACAGGGCAAAAGCCCTAATCCTTGGAGGAAAAAACAGTGTTCTAATGAGGAGAGTTTGAGTTGTTACAGGACAACTCTGTGGTGAGGACATAATCCAAATGAGGGCGGGTCAGTCCCTTCTCTCCTTTTGGAGCCATTCCTTCCCGCTTTCCTAGTCCACTGATTCTACCCCCGTGGAGTATTCCCACTCTCAGTGCATCTTTCTCGTCCGCAAGCAGACACGCTTACACATCCCGTTAACAACCCACAACCATAAAAATAACAACAGCAAAATAATCTGGACTCCACAACTAAGTATCCTCACTAGAAGCTTCCTCTAGCGTCTACCTGGGGTCTTTCAATCACAACCAAACTTCTGTAAGCAACAACTTTTCACTCTCCATTCATCCCTAAATCTACCCTAATTTATCTCGCACTGATGAGTTACACTGAATCCGATCATGCGAAGCACCCACGAGGCTTCAGCTGACCTGTTTCCCCTCCTTTACAGAATTTTCCAGTCGGGCGTCTCTGACGCCGCTCTATGAAGACCGAGATAACTTTGGCTTTACATTTCAGAAAACTCAAGTCGAGACGAAGTGATTTATGAGGAAACTTCTAGCTCACGTAGCTTCAGCACGTCCTTTCGTAAGGGTCCCAGCATTCGGAGTCTGCACGGCTGGTCGTCCTCCCGTCACGTCGGCGAGGGCACCGCTGCCTTCCGCGCTCAGACCTCGCGCTCATCGAGGTTGTACGTGCGTGTCTGTGTGCGTGACGTGCGCGGCGAGAGCGACATCGACACGCCGACGTCCGCCCCGGGACACTTTCTCCCGCACGCATCTCCCAGCGCCTGCACACCTCCCCCGCCATCTGCAAGCAGCCCCTCCCAACAGGTCACACGGCCGCCCGGATAAATGACTCAAAACCACGGGGGGAAGCACCTGCGGATTCCCGGGGATCCCTAAATAGGAAGACCCCACGGGGCCATGGGCCCCACGACCACCCATAAATGACTGCGTCTCCGTGGGAAACGGAGCGCGGGACAGACTGAGTCCCGCCAGCAAGCGGGGAGGGGACGAGGCCTGCGGGACACTCGGCGCCGATTTCCTGCTCGTCCTTGCGGCGCCGGTAACCGAGCCGCGCAGGCCCCGCTCGGGCATCTGCTTCCTCCCACCTCCGGGCTCCCAGTCGCGCGCTCCTCGCTCCGCAGAGTCCACGTTCCCAGCGCAGGCGCTGCGCCTGGGCTGGAGGCGACGTGGCCGGGGCGGGAGCACGGCCTCCCCGGGGCGCCCCCCGCCAGCGCGCACCCGCACTCGCACGCGCGCAAGGACACAGATACAGACAGCGCGGCTCCTTGCAAATCTTTACTTGGGTTTCGCTTCCCCGAGCACGTGCGCGGGCGCGGAGCAAGGCCCTTCACGCCGCGACGCGGACACAGACACAGACACAGCACCGCGCCCCCGGCTCCGGCCCGGGGCGCCCCCGGGCGCTCACTTGTACGTCTTCATGTGCCACAGCCCGTCGTTCAAGTAGTGGATGTTCTCGATGCCGATGCCCTTGTTGACCTTCTCGATGTCTTCCGCGGACATCCGCATGACGCCGACGCACAGCGCGTGCTGCTTGCCCTCGGCCATGACGGCCACCACCGTGTCCACCGCGGCGGGGTACAGCTGCGCGCCCGGGGACGTCAGGCCGGGGCACATGATGTTGGCCCCGCTGAGCACAAACTTGATGGCGCCCTTGTCCACCTGCTGGTGCGGCAGGATGAAGGGGAACTTGTGCAGCAGCCGCAGCGTCGGGTAGAAAGGCCCCTCGCGCTGCCTGAAGAACAGCAGCTCCCCGTTGACCGTCAGGATCTCGATGTGCTCGTGGCAGCGCACGATCTTCACCGGGTCTTTCTTGGGCAGGATCTGGTTGAGCCACGGCTCGATGCCCGGAAACTGCTCTATCAACTGGTTCTTAATCCCCTTAATAACGGAGGTTTTCAGCTGGATGCAGTTGGACACGTTCTCTTTCTCGTCAAACTTCTTGAACATGATCCAAGGCGAAGGGGGCGCCGCCAGCGAAGAGCCCGAGCGGGGAAGACGTGTGGAGACGCCGAGGCTCCGGCGGAGGCGCTCACGGAGGGCCGGCAGGGACGGGCGCGGCGGCTGTCGTTAACCGGAAGGGAGCGCGCTTTACGGCTCTGCGTGGGATCTACTTCCGCCCCTCGGAGCGCCGCGCGCCGGCGCCGGCGGTTCAGGGGCCGCAGATTCGTGGCGTCTGGCGGGTGGGGTAGAAGGGGCGGGACTTGAGGAAGAGGAGCGGGAGGCGGCGTTCCTCTTGCGGAAGAGACGAATGGAAAGGGCCTGTTATTTTTACTGTTGTCATTGGTCAGCCGAATCGTCGTCCCCGCGCTTAGCTGCGCGGGAAGCCGAGGGGAGCAGGTGCGGGGAGCAGGGGAGCAGGTGCCGGGGAGCAGGTGCGGGGGAGCAGGTGCGGGGAGCAGGTGCCGGGGAGCAGGTCCCGGGGAGCAGGGGGGCAGGTGCGGGGAGCAGGTCCCGGGGAGCGGGTGCGGGGAACAGGAGTGGGGAGAAAGTGCGGGGAGCAGGTGCCGGGGAGTAGGAGCCGGGGAGCAGATCCCAGGAGCAGGTACGGGGAGCAGGAGTGGGGAGAAAGTGTGGGGAGCAGGTGCTGGGAGCAGATGCGGGAAGCTGGTCCCGGGGAGCAGGTGCGGGGAGCAGGTCCCAGGAGCAGGTGCGGGGAGCGGGTGCGGGGGAGCAGGTCCAGGGAGCAGGTGCGGGGAGCAGGTGCGGCTCTCCTGCCGCGCACAGGCGCCGCGACGAGCCCAGACCCCTTCGTTAACCCAGGTCTACCTGGCTCACACCCTACGTCTCCCCCACATTTCCGACACGTCTGGCTCAGGGACGTGTCATCGCAGATATCTGCCTGCCGCCTGTCACCCATGGATGCAGCCTTCTCCCCTCTGGTTTCTCTCCGCCTGAACAAGGCGGGGAAAGGCTTCCAGACCTAGAAGAATGCAAATGCTATAGGATTTAGTCTGCCCTTTCAAGACAAACAAACCCAGGTTGCGGCCCAGAATATGGTTTCTCCTGGCGAACCTCACTGAAAAGAGTGTGCATTCTGCTTTGTTTGGGTTCAGTGCTCTGCACGTGGTGACTGTGTCCCAGTGGTGGATGGAGTCGTTTTCTGTCTACGCGTTCTGTTGGTTGCTGAGCGGAGTATTGAAATCTCCAGCCGTGATTGTGGATCTGCTTCCCTTTCTAGTTTTATCAGCTTTGGATTCATACATTGTGAAACTCCAGTATTAGTTCCATACCCACTTAAGATTAATATGGAAGTCACCCAGCTAATTAGATTTTATCCATGTAGATTTCTCACGCTATCCTAAGGATAAGTGTGAGACCCCTGAAGCCAGGAATTGTGGATTTTGTTTTGTTTTGTTCTTTTTAAATTTTATTTATTTGAGAGAGAGAGAGAGCAGGAGTGGAGTGAGGCAGAAGGAGAAGCAGGCTCCCTGCTCAGCAGGCATGGAGACTGATTCTGGTCTCCATCCATGGACCCTGAGATCATGAGCTGAGCCAAAGGCAGACACTTAACCAACTGAGCCACCCAGTCGCCAGAACTGCGTGTTTTATGTCTGTATTCTTTCACTTAGCACTTCTCTCCAGTGAGTACATGTGTAGTCTTGGGAAGCCTACCCTGCAGCAGAAATTGTAACAGGAGGTGAATATACAGTGGAAAGAACATTATTCCCACATTCTTGGGAGCTTATAGCACATCGTGGTGAGATAGATAGATATAGATATAGGTGATAGATAGATAGATAGATAGATATCTCCCCATCCCCATTCTCAGAACAAAAATCTGGATTAGTCTGGGTTCTCCAGAAAAAGGATAGATACATAAAATCGTATTATAAAATTATTACATATATTTATATGTGTAAGTTTATGGAATTACATATATGCATATAGATATAAGTAAATATAGGCTGCATGTGTAATATGTACCCATCATAGGGAATTGGCTCACACAATTATGGAGACCAAGAAATCCCAACATCAACAGTCAACAACAACCTGGAGACCCAGGAGAACCAATGTAGTAGGTCAGTCTGAGCCCAATATGAAGGCAGGAGAAGACCAACGTCCTAGTTCAAAGGCAGTCAGGCAAGAAGAATTCCTTTCTCCTCAGGGGAGAGTCCGCCTTTTTGTTCTGTGCAGGCCTTGGTTGAGGCCTGCCCACACTAGAGAAGGTAATCCCCAGGGTAGCCCATCTTAAATGAGGCAGCAGAGCCATGTGCTGATGTCCTGACCTAGGACCCAGGATGGGTCCTGCTCCATCATTTACCAGATTGAAATCCGGAGAGTTACTGAACTTGTATGCATCTCTGTTTACTCATTACAAAAGTACGGTTGACAGGAATACCCATCTCCTGGGGACAGGGGTGGGAACTGCTTGAATTAGAACTTAAAATAATTGGGTTTTCAGTGTTTCATATAGCTATAATTATTAAATTAACACGAAACCAGTTACGTGATTATTTTAATACTCTCTTCACACAGAACATAGCACAACCAGCCAGACTTAAGCTTTCCTATTTATGGCCAAGTCTCCAGTATGCCTCCCTGAGAGTTCACTGCAATTACTTTGATCCCATGAAGAGTCACACATTTCCAGTTAATATATGAGCAGCTAACCTCATCTATTATGTATAGATTTATGTGCTATCCTATAGGATAGCACATAGGATAGGATAGTTCCCTTCCTGTGGGTCTTACGGGTTGTTCTGTTGTTCTTTATTTGTGAAGTCAGTGCTGTATGAACAGCATAAACCAAATGTCGAAATTCCAGGGAGAAAGAGTCTTTACTGGCTCACATGATCAGGTGACCTGTGGACGACTAGTAGTGTTATCAGAGGCATGCCCAAAGGAATTTTTTTTAATAAAGTTATTTTACAGAAAGGACTCTAAGAAAGCTTACTCTGAAGTTCCATAGCCATGGAAAACATTTTTGAAGTTAATAATCATTTTTATCAGAAATATACTCAGTCTGTACACTGTAACTCTTTCCTGGGATGCACTTGACCTGGGCCGTCGAGCCCCTATTTGGCATCTATCAGGAAGAGGATGCTAAGCCCTAGTTTTCTCCTTAAATTCCTAAAAAATTAAAAGAGTTAAAGTTAACAAAAAAAACCTCTATTTTCATTGGAAAATGAAAATGGAGCCTGGTTCTTAAACTTTATAGAGGAGTCTAGGTCTTTGAGGTCTTTTAGGTGACTCACATCAGTGTATGAAAAAACACGACACACAACTGTTGCTTTGAACAAATGAGCATGTTAAAACACTGAAACACACCAACTTGTTCTCATTAAATTATTTATAATCAACTGAAAATTAATTAACTATATATGGATTTTAAAAAGAAGGAGCAAAGTTACAGCACAATCTAAAGTCAGATTGATTTTTAGGCTGAGGCTGTACGGCCTCCTAAGTTCTGTCAGCCTCCCCCGTGTTGCTTTATTTCCGTGAAATCTGACGAGTACAGTGTATACTTCACAGGGTGTGTGGCGCAGTTACGAGGAATAAAAAAATACAATATACAAAGGACTTATATAAAGATGCAGAATAAGTACCTTTACTAGTGTTTCTTTATTCGCAAAACACCCTTTATGTGGTACTTATAAGGCCTAAGATTATAGTATAGATGTAAAAATTTTTACAGAAAATGTTTGTAGCTTTGGATAAAGCCAAAGTCAAGTAGTCAAGAGATGCCCCAACTCGGTATTGTATCAAGAATCTCAGGGGAGTGTGTAATCGAGACACAGTGATGACATGGCTAAATTAAAGTGTGGAACCTGAATGAGAACATTTCTCAGGTTCCTCGAATCTGCAACACTGGGAGTGCAGTTCACACACCTGCGTTGAACTACCTTTCAAACCCTTCACCTGCGTACAACCGTGTCTGCATTTTGAGGCGTGACCACCAGAGGGCAGGAGAGCCGAGCTGAAGTTCGCCGGCAGGTCCCCGTGATTGGTGCTGTGTTAGGCGTATAGGTAACTTTTTTTTTTTTAACCCTACAGTTATTTTTCCTAAATAAATAAACCCATTTCTACCATTGTAAGACATTTCCCAAGTTCAGATGAGCATTCTAAATAGTATCTACGTGATTTAAAATTTGAGTTTTCTCTGTAATTTTCTCTAAATAATAAACAAAGCAGTTATTTCTAAAATGAATATTAGGGGTACCTGTGGCTCAGTGGGTTAAGCATCTGCCTTCAGCTCAGGTCACCATCCCAGGGTCCTGGGATGGAGCCCTTCATCGGGCTCTCTGCTCAGTGGGGAGCCTGTTTTCCCCTTTCTGCCTGCTTGTGCTCGCTCTGTGTCAAATAAATAAAACCTTTAAAAAAAATAAAATGAAGTCTATTAAAAGATGCATGCTAGCTCTACATTATTGGCCTTCTCAAAGAAATACAAACTTCCAGTTACAAAATAAGTCACAGAGATGACAGGAAGCATAGGCAGTATAATCAACCATACTGTAATAAAGTTGGGTGACAATTGGGGACTATTCTTACCCTGATGAATACCGAGTAACATAGAATTGTGGACTCGTGTTGTACACCTGAAGCTAATGTAACACTGTGTGTTCATTATACTTCAATTTATAAAATGCCTCTTTCCACATTGCTTCAATTTAGGAAGGATTTTTAAAAATTAAAAAGTTAGGTATATCATAAAAATAATCTCATGACAGCCCAAATGTTCTTGATTACATGTTCCACCTCGTTGCTCCATTCCCCCAGGAAACACTGCTAGGTTTCTCGTAGGTTCCAGCCACATTCTCTCCACGGCAGACATGCAGATGAATAGGTAGGAGGGTGCTCCCATGGGCAAGCACAGAGGAAAGGGCCCCCACACCGGGGAGGTGAGCAGAGTTCCCCCAGAATCTTAGGGGCTCTCATTTCCAAAGCAAACCCCACAGGAGGGTTGAGCCCTGGCCTGGGGTGGCCAGAGCCCTCCCTACTTCTCTAAACTCTGGCCATCGGATGTGCCCCAGACCAGTTCCTTTCTCTCTTGGCCTGTTTCCCGATTGTCTCAAGAGGGCTGGACACAGAACTTCGTGACCTCCCCCTTGGTAGTGTGG